AGACAGAGAGAGAGACAGAGAGACAGAGAGAGAGACAGAGAGAGAGACAGAGAGAGAGACAGAGAGAGAGACAGAGAGAGAGAGACAGAGAGAGAGAGAGGAAGAAGGAGGAGAAGGAGGAGGAGAGAGGAGGGAAAGTAGGGAGGACGAGGGAAAGCAAGCACAATAAGGACATGGGAAGACAAAAAACTGTAGCAGCGAAAGTCGTTCAGCGTCTTAAATGTAAAATCGTTCCAGGCATTTGCTTTTCAAACCTCCAAAAGTGGCCATGCTTAGGAATAACTGAAGTGCAATGCAGACAGACACCACTCTTGTTGAAACCAGAATGAAAGATAATGTCAGAGAATTAGGACAGTCCTTGGAGACAGTGAGGTAGGTTTTGTCTTTTTTTTTTCAATTCTGTAAACCCATTGCCAACCTTGTACCTGCCTAGCATATAGTAAGCATTCAATTAGCATTCATTTGTTGGATGAACGGACGGACGGACAAACATTATAGCACTTAGCAGTGTTTTGAACTTTCCTGTCTTCTACCCCTACTGAACCATCAACACCATCAGGTTTAGGTCTTTGCCTGTCTTCTTTTTACCCCCTTTGGTTTTGGGAGACAGGGGTCTCACTGTGAAGTTGCAGCTAACCTGCTAATTCACTGGTAGCCCAGGTTGGCCTGAAATATTGGGCAATTCTCTTGCTTCAGTCTCCTGTGTATTAGGGTTAGAAGTATATGTTATCACTAGTATAGGAAATAATAGGTACTTGACTCTGGGTTTAAGTGAGTGAACAAATCCTGAACCCCAGAGAATAATGACAAGGAAAGAAAAAAGGAAAAAAAAAATGAAGCAGAAGCTAAAAGCCTCAAGGGAGGTGAAAGACTATTTCATAGGTCTATAGACAAGAATTTTAATAGTATTTGTTTAATATAAGCAAATGATATTGACTTCAAAGTGGAGATATGAGGGTAGGCATACTGGCACAAGCCTATAATTTCAGTGCTCGGGAAGCTAAAGCAGGAAGTTCCCAGACCAGCCTGGGCTACATAGTGAGACCATATCTCAAAAAACCAAACCAAACAAACTGTGTGTGTGTGTGTGTGTGTGTGTGTGTGTGTGTGTATCCCACACCAAAAGAAAAGCAATGAGAGGAGGGGTATGAACTTGGAAATGGTAATTTGTCCACATAGCCCCATTCACAGTCCCCCTCACCCCTAGCCATCTGCCTACCCCTCTCAAGTTTTTCCAGATTGACCTGGTCTTGCCTAGAGAGCTTCCATGTCCCTTGTGCCATTCCCTCTGCTGCTAGGCTTTGTGATTTTGTTCTTACATGCAACATCAAAAATCAGTACACCTTTTAGCAAGATCAGTACTTATAGATCTCCAGGGCTCCCATTTGACCGTCAGATCAGATGAAAAGCTGCCTAGTTTTCCATGTCCACCATTCAGCTTTCCGTAAACTGAGGTGTGTTCAGTGAACGAAATGCCTTCCCTTTTTCAAAGCTTCTGATTACTGTTTTCTTTACCCATCCAGAGCCCGTTTCATCTGAACTCCCTGAAGACTCATTTTCCCTACAGCTCTAAGGAAGACAACTGTTCCAGAAACACCTCCCTTCTTTTCCTTCCTCTCTCCTAATTACCAGTCATGAACATTATAGGTATCTTCTTTTCTTGGGTATCGCTCCATGTTGCTCTATTAATTCTGGCATGGAAGTTCCTTTCAAGTCCTGTCTTTCTTGTGGCCGTGGCCTGTGGATGGTTGTAAAATCAGCCTTCAGTGTATTCCACACTAGAGTTCACTTATCTCTAAGATGAACTTCTAATTGTGCCACCAACACACACAGCATGCACATTGCCTGTGTACATGCACGCACATAATGTTTGCGACATTGCACACGCTTTACATAAAAAGCCAGGCTCACTTATTTCTGACTTTCTGTACCTCCACTCGCAGTTTGTAGCCTGTATGACACATAGATTCTCTTCTCCGAACTCCTCTCCTCTTCGTGCCCTCCAGAACCATTCTGCAGCCAACTCCCCTAACTTTATCCCACCAGCCTTCAACTTCCTTTTTCTGCTGTGCTTTTTGTTTGATCATTTCTGGAGATCAAATTCAGGTCTTATATCTGCTACCTTCCATGCCTTAAAAAGATTTTAAATTTTTTAATTAAATTTATTTATGGTATTGGGGGAGCACACATGTGCCATAACTGCTTATAGAGGTCAGAGGACAACTTTCAGGAGTTGGTTCTGTTCTACTATGTGGGAACTGGGGATTGAACTCAGGTCCTCAGGCTTGGCTGCAAACGTCTATACCACTGGGCTACCTCACTGGCTTTAACAAAACATTTATTTCAAAATAATCACACATTCACAGGAGATTGTGAAGGGAAGTCCTGGGCACTTTCCTCCAGCTTTCCCTGGTGTGACAACTTGCACACAGTTACAGTACATCATCAAAATGAAGAAATTATTTTGGTATAGTTTATTGATTTCATTCACACTCCACCAATTATGCATACATTCATGTATGTGTGTCTATGAAATTTTATCGTATCTGAAGCCTCACATGACAACTATAATCAAAATACAGAACTATGCCATCACATGATTATGTCATCCTACCCCTGTCCTGTCATAGCCATCTATAACTCCTGGTAGTGACTGACCTCATCCCTCTGTAGTTAGGGTTTTACAACATTTATGAATGGAATCACACAGTGTATGTGTGTGTATATATATATATATATATTATATATATATTATATATAGTGTATGTGTGTGTATATATATTATATATATATATTATATATATATTATATTATATATATTATATATATATTATATATATATATATTAGATTGGCCTTATGTACTCAGCGTACTTTCCTTGTAATCCTCCCAAACTCTTTGCATATAATAATGGTTTGTTTATCATATTGATGAACAGTATTCCACTGCTATGGATGCTGGTTTGTTTAACCATTTGCCTATTAAAAAAGTACGTTTGGATTTTTTTCCAGTTAAAGCTATTTTGTGTAAAGATGCTACACACATCCATATACAAGTTCTTACATGAAAATCAGCCTTAACTTTCTGGAATAAATTGCCCAAGAGTGCAATTGCTAGCTCATATGGCAAGTCTATTTTTAGTTTTGACAGGAACTGCTAAATTATTTTCCAGAGTGGCTATACCATTTTACATTCCCACTAACAAGATATGTGTGATTTAGTCCCCACATCTTCACCAGGAATTATTATCACTGTTTCCTCCTAGCCATCTTGAGAGTTGGCTCATGTGTGTGTGGTGCGTCTCATCTTTCAGGACCTAAAGAGCCATTATAGCCCCTGTAGAGCCTTTTCCAGCCTCACCTGGAGAAGCTCACTTCTCTCTCCCTTGTGCCAAAACTCTGATACTTCATTTATCATTGCATTTTAATTATTTATTGTCAGAGTTTATGTAATCCCCTCTTATGAGCTACATGATGATACAGACCATGCCAGATTCCTCTTGACTCCTGGAGCAGCTGGGACTCCAGGTGCCATTATGGGCACCTAGTGGGTACTCAGTAAGTGTGTGCTAAGTGAAAGGAAGGAGTGGAAAGAATGGTAGCCCTCCCCTGCTAGAAACCTTTTTAAAACAGACATCACGCCTTCTGCTGTGTCTCCCAGCAACAGTTAATGGGGTGCTCTGTTTGTGTAGATGCTCAATAAATGTCGCTCAAACTCTTCAGGTGGCTTATCTTCCCTCTGCACCCATGAGATAAGCACATGAAAGAGAGAATAGACCAAAGAATCCTTGCATTAAGGATCATATGTCATAAATTTTGTAATATTCTTATAATCTTTACAATCACTCTGCATTCATCTGTGTGATGAGAAATCAAAACAAAATAGTCCTTTAAGTCAAAGAATGCCTCTGTGACCATCATTTTACTCCCTGGTTACATATGGATTGGGGAGGGCAGTGTTTTATGTTCCTGAATTCCTTTTGCCATCTCAGGAGGATCTGGGATTTTTCTGTTTTTCTGCACTGGTATAATTTGACATGTTGATTATGAAAGGGTCATTAACTTCAACATTTTTGATCACTTTTTGACTCTGTATTTTCTCAACTCTGAAGTCTGTTAATTTGCACTTGTTTATATGTCTCTGTAAGAGTCACTCCGGCCCTTGAGGACTGGACTATGTTTTGTCTGGAAAGTAGATTGTAAGCCCCTTGAGAGCAAGGACCTTATAATTCCTCGGAATGCATTCTGGACATTGTCAGTGTTCAATTAATGATAATATTGGAAGCCTGACTAAGGTTACCTGTCACACTGACATTTCCCTTTTCATCTGTAAGGCTGCATGCCCTCGGCAAATAGCAGTTAGGCTGATGTGATAGCATTGATTCTACTCAAAATTACACTATTACCCACCACAACTTGTTCTTTGGGGTACTTTCAAATTGTAGTTTTTGATCAGTTGATACTGTTCTCCTTATAATACTGTGAATGCATATGCACTGGGGAGGGCCGTATTTCAGAGGCCTCAAGTCCTTTGCAGAATGAAAAGTAAGTTGATACCATCTATGCTCTCAAGGCTTCTTGCCCCCATTGATAATTAGGTGATAAACTCCAGGTGTGATTGCTGTCTGACATTATCAGAAGGAAACCTTCATGACTATTCAATGTATATGTTTTATTACTCTAATTATAAAATGGAATAAATGTGTATACTATGCCCCATGGCTATGAGAGTTAACTAGATATATATGAAGTGTTCAGTGAAGTCTAAGTTCTGAAATAAAAAGGGCAAATTTGGTCATTGGTGATGGTGGAAGTAGAGGAATTGTCATTCTAAGTCAGGTTTATTAAAGTATAACACACATACAGCCAGGCTCACCCTTTAAGGTTGACAGTTTGATGTGATGGATAATTCAACTATCCCTCCAACACACTTCACTACCACTGCATAGCCCTAACTAAAGCGGATCTTTTTCTGACAATTTGTGTCCTTCCTCTTCCCAGTGTACTAAAGGAAGTGTACCAGGCCTTCAATCCTAAAGCAGTGGTTTTACAGCTGGGTGCAGATACCATCGCTGGGGACCCAATGTGCTCCTTTAACATGACGCCAGTGGGGATCGGCAAGTGTCTGAAGTATGTGCTTGAGTGGCAGTTGGCAACTCTGATTTTAGGAGGAGGTGAGTACAATGGAAAGTCACCAAGAGAGCTTGTCAGTCCTCCTCCACACTTATTAACATAGACGATAAGTCGATTTTTTGGATTGGATAGTACTAACCTGCCTATGGCCCAGAAGCCTAGGTCTATGAAATCGATTACTTCCCCAGCTGAGCATAGACTCTGGCCCATCCCTAGTCAGCTTGCCATGTGCTTTGACACCTAGGCACTCTGAAGTTTGTTTTAATTTGGAAATAAAGGTTAAGATTAGAACATTTGCTTAGCATACACAAGACTGTGTTCAAACCTGAGTATGGAATAAGAAAGAAGATGCCAGACAGTAATGGCGCACACCCTTAATCCCAGCACTTGGGAAGCAGAGACAGGCAGGCTGATTTCTGTGAGTTTGAGGCCAGCCTGGTCTAAAGAGTAAGCGTCAGTATAGCCAGTGCTACACAGAGAAACCCTGTCTTGGAAAAATAAAAAAACCGAAACAACAAAACCAAAACCAAAAGGAAGAAGAAATTAGAGGATGTCAGTCCCCGAAGACTGTGAACCCTCTTCTGTCAGAGAAGCCATTATTCTCTTCTTACCCATTCTGTTTCAGAAACATCAATGAAATTCTATCTCTACTCATTCATGAATAGTAAATACATGAATTAATTGAATATCTAAGATGAAGTCAAGAATTACTCGTTTTCCCTAAAGCATGATTTTGTTATAAGGAAGCAAACTTGAGAGAACCATAGTCTCTTGAGCATTCTTGCACCCCTTACTGATGTTAACATTCTTTAACTAACAGAATGCTAGGTCTGTTGGATAGAAGCATTGATGTGTTTGGAACCGTGCCCAACCTCAGTCATCTTTATAGATGCTTTAGGATGAGATCTTCTGTCTCTTCACCAGCCACAATATTTATTTCATTGGATCAATAAATTGGTGTATTTAAACATGGTCAAGTGGATTGAGATTAAAATGCACATATATGTCACCAGCCATAGTGGCACATGTGTATAATCACAGTACTTGGGAAATAGAATCAAGAGGATTGGGAGTTATGAGCTATCGTGGATTACACAAGACCTTATCTCAAAAATGTACCAAAAGAGTACATATATGTAGGCTAGAGAGATTTCTCAGTGGTTACAGACTCTTGCTGCTCTTGGCAAAGAGCCAAGGTTTGGTTCCTGGCCCCCAAATGGCAGCTCAACCCTTCGTAACTCCAGTTACAGGGTATCTAATACCCTCATCTGGCCCCTGTGGGCACCCAGCATATACATGGTATATGTACATACATGGAAGCAAAATACTCATGCACATAAAATTTTTGTAAAGAAATTAAATGCATAGATGATGACCAAGCTAATAGTTTTATCACCCTCTTGTAAACTCCAAATCCAGGTAAACTCTGGGCAGGCCTTAGGTCAACAAGTGAGCATACAGCACAAATAAAGCAACCTGGTCCTTGGGAGTCTTCAAACCTCAGAGGGATCAAAATTAAAACTGATTACAAGAGACGCTCTCTTATGAAAAGCTGGCAAGAAGCTTATTAACTTCACCTCCAGAAAAAGATAAAATTGATAAGCATTACATGGCATATTACTTTCCATAAACACTAAGGATAGAGATTATGATACAGGTCCAGCTGGGGGGAAAGACCTTTCTCCAACAGACACCTGGAAGAATTTAACTTTTGTCTGAGGCTACAGCCTTCTTTTGAAGAGTCTTACCATTAGCTCAAATCCTTTTGCATTTTTAACCGAAAGCTTGGCTCTTGAATATGTAAGTATAACTCTTCTTATGCAATATGTGTATTCCTGAAAATGCCTGCGCATGAGTGGTGTGTTTGCAGATAAGTCATATCATGTGTATACTAGAGATAACATACTCCTTAAATAAAACCTATAGTTATTCTTTTTTAAATTAATAACTATGCCAAATAGGTCTGCCTTGCAGACTAATTTCCCATGCCAGGAATGTTTAAAGTAATATCTAAACCGTACAGCTGAAATTCTCTGCTCTTAACACATAGACAATTAGCAGAGATGGCTGCATTCTTAAGCTTCCTCAGACCAGTCCCACTGAGGCCTGAAGGACACGCTCCAGAAACCCTAGCCTCCCTAACTTTTGAAATAGTAGGAAAGCTCAAGAAAAGGGTAACAGCAGGTCCCAGTTTATATATGTTAGCCCGTTGTGACAATGACTAGTGTCCTCTATTGCGCTTCAAAGTGCATCCTTTTGGATGATAATGTATATGGGCACCCTACCTAAAATAGAGCTGATTTTATTTCCTGTGGTCTGCTCCGAGATTAGGAAATATTCCATTTTACCCTTAGACTCTTGGAATTCAGCTGAAGGCCAGCGTGTTAATGCTTGCATGGCAAAGCACATCCATTCAGCACAAAAATATGCTGATTATTAACCAGTGTGATATGGCTGCTGGGTGACTGTGACAGGACCTGACGCGGCGGGTCAGGGTGTCAATCATCAGTCCCTTCCTCGGCTCACTTTCTTTGATCTCTGCCACCAGGCTTGCATTTTGTGGTGAAAAGGACCGCTGATATTTAAAGAAGGAAGTCTGTTTCTGTCAGCACTTTCCTTTCCTTTTTCCTGGATGCCTTTAGGACTAGATCTGCCAATAGCTTTAAAATACAAATCACAGCCAGCAGTCACTTTATAGAATTGTTGCAAAATTCATCTGAGAAACCATCACAGTGGGTAGGTTACCTCCAGACATCTGGGTTCCAGGGTTCTCGGTCTCCCTGACGTCTCTTGGTGGAACTGAGGTGCTTGCCTTTCTCAGGTGCATTATTGCTGCGAGATAAGAGCCGCTTTAATCTGTGTTGCCCTTGAAATTATGAGTTCTACTCTGTGCATGATCTGGCTAGTCCACTAAAGTCTACCCACTAGGTGGTTTACAAATACCATTAAGGGATGCTTAAGGAAGATTCTGCAAGTTGGAGTTGTCTTTTTAGACCTTTTATTAAAACAGTTTTCTCTCCTTCCTTACCCTCTTCCTTCTCCTGTTTTGTGGCTATTCTTTCCTAACTTCACAATTCTTGATGGAGACAGGAGGCTATAACCTTGCCAATACGGCTCGTTGCTGGACATACTTGACCGGGGTCATCCTAGGGAAAACACTATCCTCTGAGATCCCAGATCATGAGGTAAGTAAGGCTCTGACAAGTCCTCTCTTCTTTAAGGGGAAGAGCTGAGTCATTCCACCTAATCAAAATCACGTCCTCACGACTCAATACCGTTCTGTTGAGAGACACTTCAACAACAATAACACACTGTTTGGCAGTATAGTGGACTCTTGTTCCAAAATAGCCAAGACCTTCTGCCTTTTTTTTAAACAAAAGCTCTCAAAGGCCAACAAACTTTAATTTCTCAATTAATTACAGAGACTGTGGGAAGGGGTCACCTGTTCCACAAAGAACTCTTTGGAATATGTGCATATTTTCAGCCCCTAGCCTCAAGAGGGAAGGGGCTCATTTTTAAATATAAAAGCTAAGTTTTGGTCTGATTTTAGGGGTGCCATAGGTGAGATGTGACACATATTCTTTGGTGGCCATCCTGTTCTCTCAATTGTCTTTGACTAATATAGAGTTCAGGAACTATAGTCACTAAGAAAGTCAAGTCTGGTGGGTTTCCAGCAATTCCAGGTACAGAGATTGGAGCTGGACCATCCGAACTGTGAAACATGTCAGCTGAACTGTTGCCATTTTCTCTAGTTATATGAGATGGCCTTTACAAAGAAGAGATGTCTGTTTGAGTTTTCTCAAAACAAGCAATAAAAGCTGTCTGGGACCTGTGGGTGTGCTAATAATCAGTAATTCAAAGGTGTATGTCATCTATGTACCCTATCGATTCCCACCTACTTCTCCCCCTGGCAGAGAGCACGTTATCACTGATGAGGATGTAGCCACAAACCTTAGACTGTGTAGCTTAAAATAACAGAGCAGTCTGTGAAGCCCTCCTTCTCCAGCTATTTCCCAAAGATGAGGGATAGTGCTTTGCTTGTAATGTTATGATTTCTGCCAAATGTATTGCTGTATACTTGAGAGCATTATGCTTTATGAAGTCACTATTATTTTTTTTTAAATTAGAAGTAACTTAAACTAATTTGCTTCCAATTTTCTTCTAACCATAGGTGAGGTATAATATGTAACTCAGAGAAACCACTCAATATGTCTAGAATACAAATAGAAGGCATGCTGTAATTTGAGACAATTTGCTAGTGTCAGGGTTAATGGAAGTCTCTTTTCTTGACTTGACTTACCTTTATTCAGTATTTGGAAGCTTAATGAAATATAAAGGTAAGTACTGTGAACAAATGTAATTGCTGTTATTGCTGTGGGAATATCTCAGATTGCATTGTAATTTAGAGCACCGGGACTCTAAAAACTGATCAGGTTATGTCAGAAAGCAGCCATAAGCTGTAGAAGTCTGAATTGAGAGTGAGTGTTGTGTTCCTCAGAAACAAAAGCAAATCTAATGATTCATCTGTATTAAAAGAGTGATAAAATTTTAATAAACACAAATATTGCCTTTGGTACCTGGAGAAGCTATGCGCAAGAACAGATGCAGGTTTAGCCTTATGGATCGAGATGTTCTGTCTTTCTATGGATTCATCCTGCAAGATGAAATGAGATGCGATGTGTGTCAAGTGCCTGAGACACAGTCCGTGGCATGGAACAGACATTTCAGAAATGCCAGTTCTTACTTCCCTTTTGCGTGTTCCACACTTCTTATACCCAGACATTTATGACTCTGTCATTCAGAAATCTGTCCAAACCCTTTGTGAATCCCTTCTGTCATATTCTTCTGGTATAAGAGATATGAGTCATCCAAGAAGGAACAAAGAAGAAAATTGAAATGACAGTATTCAGGTACAATGAGATATCATTTTAATGAAAATTGCCAAAAATAGACCACACAGTATGAAGGCATATATAAGTTTTGTGTCACAATACACAATTGCGCACAAATATCCTTGTGGTCTTCTGCAATCAGATCAACAAATGGTAGATAAAAATACTCTCTGTGTATCCAGTATTTGCTAGGAACTGTACTACTCTGTGTCTTAAAAGATGCAAAGGTCAGGAAGACCTTATGCCCTATCTTATGTGCCTGGAGAAGGCGGCTGTGTGCATGGGGAGCTGCGCCGGTGCACAGATATGATAATGCAGAACAGAGTGGGAGCTAGAAGGCCAGACAGGCCTGTTCACACCCCCTATCATCTCAGCAGTCTGGCCACTAAGGCGGGAGGACTGTGAGTTTGAAGCCAGCTTGGGCCACATAGCAAGTTCCAGGCCAGGCTCAGCCATTTAGGAGAACTTGTCTCGGTTTTATCAAATAAGTAAATAAATAAAAGGTAGGGACTGGAGAGATGGCTCAGTGATCCCAGCCACTGAAGACCCAGGTTCAGTTCCCAAACACCCATGTGGTAGCTTAAAGCCAGCTATAGCTTCAGGTCCAGGGAATCTGACACATTTTTTCTGTCATCTACGGACACCGGATATGTCAATGGTGCAGAGACATACATGCAAGCAAAACACCCTTACACGGAATTTTTTCCGAGTAACCAGAAGATAGTATGAACGGTGACTATGGAGATATGCATCAACTGTGAAGGGCATACAACGGAGAGCACAAAGTACCCTGCCCTCTGGGAGCCAAAAGAGGGACTTGAGAAATACAGTCAGCACAGTTACAAGGTCAACTATTGCAACAGTCAGCTACGGCCCAGCTGACCTCCTCACTATCTCTGCTCTCATTCTTGGACTTTATTCTTCCATCCCCTAGGACAATAATCATCCTCATCCTCTAAGTGCCCTTTCCCCACTTCTTTGCTGTCTTCCTAGGTCTAGCCGCAATCCCCGTGACTTTCAAAACCCTTTAGCCTAAATTAGCCAAGCCCTTTTGACCTATCCCTTTACTTCATCATTCATTTAGCAATTCATGGGGCCCCTACTACTTGCCAGGACATTTTCAGATCAGGATTCATATATACAAACAAGGTAAACCCAGTGTCCTCAAAAATACTACCCTCTAATCAAGGCTGCAAAGCAGTGTATTCAAATCCAGGACAGGCAGAGGGCAAAAGGGAACCCTTAACAGACCATTGAACTAAGTTGGGAGTTCTGGGGCACTCAGCAGGCTGAGTCAAGAGGAGCACAAGTTCAAGGGTAACTTGAGCTACCAACATAGCAAATTCAAGGACCAACCAGTGAGACGCTGAAACTTTGAACTGAATGTTCAGAACTGATTGAGAGTTTGCTAAGTGACGAAGACAGAGGTCTGTACAGTACACAAAGGGGACAGAAATGGAAAAGAACAGTAAGAAATGTACTGTGTGTATAACAGAACATGCAAGAGAATGGGAACACTTGGGACTTGGGACCAGATATGAAGAGTCTTAAATGCTGCACAGGTGAACCTACATTTTTTTTTCCTCTAGAAAAAATGATGCACTTGGTTTTTAGAGAGATTATTTGGTGCCAGAGAGATAGTACAGTTCAGTGGTTTTAAAAGCACTTGCTGTTCTTAGAGAAGAACAGCAGGTTTGGTTCCCAGCATCCATATTGTAGCCCACAACTGCCTAGAACTCCAGTTCCAGAAAGTATGGCACCTTCTTCTGACCTCTACAGAACCCAGACATGCATGTGGTATACATACAGTACATACATGAAAACAAAACACATATATGTAAGTTATGATAAGTAATCTAATATTTTAATTGAGAAAGCTTATTTCTTAGAAAATAGGAGGTAGGCTGCTAAGGGGATAAACTTGAAAGTCATACAACTAAGTTAAGAGGTTCAAGTATACCCCTAGCACATTTAGTCAGAACGTTTGTGAGCAGAAGTATTACAGATTCGGGTTGTCTTGTTTTGTTTTTTTGATAACTAACAACTGTATATAAATAATGAGATTTCCCAGGGTATGGAATAGGAATGTAAAGAATTCATTTGTCAAATATACCATCTACATAGAGTTTGAAGATAACTTTACTGAATATTTAATTGTTTTTGCATAAAACAATATAAGGTATGGTTATTACCGCATCTGATATCAGATTAACACTAAAAATATTTTAGATTTTGGAACATTTTGGATTTCAGATTGAAGATTCTCAAACTATACTCTTTTTCTGGTCACCTGTGTCTGGTTGTCTATTTTAAGTTTTTTGTGTTTAGCAAAGTATTAAGCACCCACCTAACTGATTTTCCATCATTAAATAATTAAAATAAATAAGCAAGAAGGTATTTTAATAATATTTATCAGCAGTCACATAAAAGATTTGTTTTCAAGATGAGAGTAATAGAAATATAATATAGTCTCTCTGGGAGTATAAGTCAACACCTAGCACCAACTTCCTGTCTTTTTCAAGAAGTGCCATGTATCTAAACCATGAGAAAGCCATCTATCCCAAAAAAATTCTGTATTGCCATGCAGGGAAGGGATCTGAGAAAGCAAGCCCAGCACAGATTCTCCAAGCTTTTCTGGGTGGCTCTTGGCGCACAATCCTATAAAATGGGTGATGACATAAATCCAGCAATCAGGGAGCTGACATCAGTCTAGGAATTGGGAAACGAGGTTGGACAGACAAGCTAGGAGTAAAAAGACATCAGAACTAGGAAAGCTTAAGAGAAATGGAGCATACGGGTATGATTGGGCCCTGAAACTCTACCATGGGAAGCCCAAACATGACATGAACCCATAAAAAGGCCAGTACATGGATAAGTAGCACTATTACATGGAAAAATAGTCCGTAATCTAGTTTTACTATTTAGATCCCATGGTCTATGTTTGAGTAAAGCAGTTTTATGTACAAGTTGAACATTTATAATCCAAAATTCTGAAATCTGAAGTAACTTTTTTGTTTGTTTTTTTTTTATTGAGAAAAGGAAAAAAAAGTATCCGCCTACTCCCAGCCTCCCATTTACCTCCCCCTCCTCCCACCCTTGCCCCCTCCACCAAACTCCTCTCCCCCTCCCTCTCCAGTCCATAGTGCAGTCAGGGTTCCCTGCCCTGTGGAAAGTAACTTTTTTTTTGGCACAGTATGAAAGCTTCTTTTAGTCACATCAGCAATATTTTAAAAAAGCACATTATCAGGAACAGGTGTTAGACACAAAGCATCCTTGGAGGAAATCTTGTCCTT